CTTAACTCTGAAAAACACTGATTCAAATTTTCTATAACAAAGATTACTAATAATAACATCTAGTAGCAACAGTTTTAAAGCTGGCTATGTACCTTGTCTTTTTTTGCCCATTAAAGAGCTGCTTAGGTCCACAGACCAATGAGTGGTAGGACAAAAACAAAATGTGGCACCAAGAAAAAAAGGTTTAAACCAAATTACAATTAAATGAATTAAATGTTTTATTAAATTTATATGCTGTCCATCTCGCTATCAAGTAACTCTGGGCAGCTGTTATCTAACTATTCCAATTAATTTCTTTTTGTTACAGTAAAAATATAAAAAAATAAACAATTCAGTACCAATTCTGTATCCAGACCTTTGGGACTGTATCCAAGAATGGGAGGAACACATACCCAGCTGTACCACTCAAAGGGAAAAAGAAGCAGAGATTCTGAAGAACATGTTTTTTCATGTTTGTGAAACATGAAAAGATAAACATTGTAATCTAAGTGTTTTTAAAACAGGGGATATGTGTTTGCTTTCATCCAGCTTTGTACTGATGCAATTTGCAGAAAAAATGGGAGAAAGGTCTGCTATGTATGCCTCGATAGCTCATGAAGGAAAGGTGAGTTATAAATTTAATAAAGATGAGGTTTAAGAAATGTAGTGAAAGACACAGATGTGACAGACACATAAAAGAGTTAAGAACAGATCGTTTATATGTTTTTATATCCCTTCCAATATTTTTAATTTTTTGATACGGTCTGATGCCTAAGCCAATCTTGAAAGCCTCAGGAGTTATTCACCTCAAAATTTAAGTAAATTGATATGGAAGTAAATACATGTTTCTTTTAATCCCAGGCTATAAGCTAAAGACAAACTCGACCGAGTATCTATTGAGACTGTCAGATCTTTCTTTTCCTTAGGCTTAAGCTTTCCATATGCTCCATCCCAGCCACCTTATGTCACCCAGTGGCAAAATACAGCGCCTGCCTGGCCAAGACCCGATACACACAGTACAGAATCACCTCCTTGACCTGCTGCAGCCGCAGTCTGTAACCCGAATGCAGCACTAGGAGCAGGAACTCCACGGAGGGCCGCGGCGCTTTCGGTCCCTTCCTGCTGATCCTCGGGCTGGAATCGCCCTCCCCCGCCCCCCACCCAACCCAGCCCACTGCGAACCTCCACGACGAGCACCGAAAGGCGGACGGACAAAGGGAGAACGCCAAGGGCATTCTTCCGCAAATTGCAACCGGGGGCTCCGCGGCCAACCCACCGCAACAGCAAAGCCCAAGGAAGGGAAGAAGCGGCCAGCGGTGGCAACGCGGAATGGATTGTCTGCCCGTTGCCAAGGAGACAAAACCGAGGTCGAGCTTGCGAGGACCGCGGTGCAAGGCCGGCCGAAGGGATGGCCGCTCTGCTACGGGTCTCACCTGCCAAGTGCCCGCTTCATAGCAGAGTCACCGGCGGCCCGGGCGCTGCCTGACAAACGCGGGCTGGGTCTCAAGCTGAAGTCCTTATTCAGCGCAGGGGAAGACGAAGCGGCGGCTGGAGCCGGAGCGGAGGAGGCAAAGCGCTCATGCTCCAAGGTGACGGTCTCGTTCCGCTTTCTCATGCCGGCGGTGCCAACGCACGGGCGGTGCCACTTCCACTCGCCTAAGGGAAGACTCCTCTGACCCGAACCCGACGCCTCTTTCGCCTACATTATACCAACAACAACCCGACAACCGAGGGAATAGCAGCGCTTCCTGCGTGCTGCCAATCAGAAAAGGCTAGGCTCACGTGACCTTCTACGCGTTACATATCAACGTAGCTTAGAACGAATGCTCGTTTCTTCAGCTTTGTTACTAAATTGCCCACATCAAAGATGGCTCTTGTAGGGGAATAAGATACGATGCGGTATAAACCGCGATTACTTTTCTCCTAAAAATAATTACGAGCACCTATACAAATACAGCATACGGAAGGCAGGGGAAAACCCGTGCTTATTTTTATAGCATTTGCACTTTCCTGTCTGTCGTTGAATCTTGTAAGCTTGCAGATCTAGGATGCAAAAATTCGGATCGCCGGAAAATGATAACAAATGTAGTTGTTTACATCATCTTGCTATCTCTAGCAGTCGTGGGGATCTTTGTAGCCCAGATTGGATATCACTAAATATATAAACCATGAGATTTTTTTTTCATTCCACAGTGATGTATTGGAAAGTGGGTCATGCTGCACACGATGCAGACTGCTGCTGATGTAACGGTTGAATGGAAAGAAAAGATAATCTGCTATATAACCTGTAATAATTTTCAATAAATTGCCAACAGTGTTTTGTGCATACTCTGTCACTGCACCTAATATTCAAGGGAAGTTATTAAAAGTTCATTTGTCAAAAGAAAAATCTTCATCAGGGTCCAATCCAAGCTGGGAATAAACAAAATGGAGACTGCTTTAGAAAGAAGGTTGTAGTTTATTGAAGAGCAAAGCCAGACAGAAGCTTGGCTCTGGGAAAGCTGACCACATGTGGTAGGGAGTGGTGGGTTTTTATACCTTCTTGAGCTTTTGTTTGGAGTTGTTCCTGTGGCATGAACTTTGACCTGAGTCTGAGTGTGCCTTTCTGGTATTCTGATGGTGGTTGGTTAATCCTATTATGTCCCAAAGGTCCTATTCTGCTTCCCTGGGGCTGTGGCTGATGACTGTTGGATTTTTGGTGTGAGAGATTGTTGATTCTAGGGATCTCCCTTTCTAATCCAAACTTCCTGGCTCCAGTCTTTCTGACAAGATTATCACATCTGCATTTCTGCAGACCTGGTTTCTGTTTGGGGCAGAGAGACTTGTGGGGAGGTGTTGGTTTCTGCCTTTAAGATCCTTTGTGGAAATATATTCTGCCTTTTTAATATTTCCCAAAATATTTCTTTCTCTGGATTCTTCCCACACCTTTACTCTTGTATTTAATAGAAAGGACTCCCAGTCTGGCCTACAAAACAATATTTTATGGCTTACAATGCATGTAAAAAGATATCAAAATGGGGAAGTGATAAAAATTACATTACTTATAAAAATTATAAGCAAATTATAAAATGTTTAATATAGTTAAAAGCTACAATAGGAACTACCGGTATTATAAAACCCAATCTACATATTATTTTGGGAAAGTCAATCTTGGTGAGCCATTTGAACAGTGCTGCTTTCTTTCACTTCACTGCAGCTTAATGGAATTGTTTCAGCTAAGCCCCAGTTGAAGAAGAGCTAGGAGCAGTTAATTGTTTACATTTTTAGAGCACCATGAAATCTGAGGTGTTGCACCATTTGATAAAAGAAAGGCTTCCCAAATATACTAAAACAAGTAGTAGAAAAGCACTCTTGAAATACATTGATTCCTTCTGAAACACAATAAAAATACAATGAATTTACAATAGTCGTTAAAATGTATTAAACAAAAGTGAAAGGCTTATAACGGGGAACTCAGAATCCAACCACAAAAGGCTTAATGTAATCATTATAATGTAATGAAACTATATGTAATGTAATATATTAGTTAATGTGTTTAGTGCAATAGTGACATTAATTGAATTAAATAAGTAGTGACTTATTTAATCATAATTAATTGCAGAAGTCATAGTGGCCTGGTTCATATTGACTAGCTGTCAAACAACATTGTTATTATGACTGAACAAGGTCATGAATTTTGTGATGGGGGGGGAGGATTAATTGCATAGCATAGGATTGTAGCCAAAGATTAAAAAGGACAGTCCATGGGAGAGAATAAACTTCACTGATTCTTATTGAAAAATGCAAGATGTGGCTTTGAATTTTGATAGAACCGCCAGTTTTCCATCTTGCTTGAGATGCGTTATTTTCTGATAAAATATTTGGTTAAATGCTTAAATAAGGTTACATAACTACGATAAGAAATATTTATACCTGAAAATAATATTACATAAAATTTTATTTAAAAAGGAAAGCAGTGCCATGAAAGTGGATTGATGGTGGAAGGTTATCCTTTATGCAGGTAAAGCTAAAAATTCTATGGTATCAGTTGGATTCCAAATTGTGTTTGGAAGCCCTTACACGTGTTACTTTAGAAAAACAATGAAGAGAACTTCCGGTGGGACGGCGCGCCGATGGCGGCTCTTTTCGGAGCCGTCCGCTTGGGAAGGCGTCAGAGCCAGCATGAACAGCGGTCAGCAGCTGTTCAGCGGCTTGGAACCTTGTGCCCCGGGAGAAGGGGTCGAGGTGAGTACTCCTGGATAGGAGTAGAGTCCCAAGAGCTTTTTCTCGGGAGAGCGAAATTGGGTACTCCTCCGGAGTCCGGGAAATCTCCGTCTCCCAAGTGCCTTTGTTCCCTTTTTTGGGGGGGAACAAAGCCAGTCGTTGCCTCCACTTCTGTGAATTACAGAGAACTGTGAGTAAATAATAACCAGATGGAACTGACCAGGGGAAACTGGACTTGAGCAACTTAAGACTTTANAGATTTTTTTTTCATTCCACAGTGATGTATTGGAAAGTGGGTCATGCTGCACACGATGCAGACTGCTGCTGATGTAACGGTTGAATGGAAAGAAAAGATAATCTGCTATATAACCTGTAATAATTTTCAATAAATTGCCAACAGTGTTTTGTGCATACTCTGTCACTGCACCTAATATTCAAGGGAAGTTATTAAAAGTACATTTGTCAAAAGAAAAATCTTCATCAGGGTCCAATCCAAGCTGGGAATAAACAAAATGGAGACTGCTTTAGAAAGAAGGTTGTAGTTTATTGAAGAGCAAAGCCAGACAGAAACTTGGCTCTGGGAAAGCTGACCACATGTGGTAGGGAGTGGTGGGTTTTTATACCTTCTTGAGCTTTTGTTTGGAGTTGTTCCTGTGGCATGAACTTTGACCTGAGTCTGAGTATGCCTTTCTGGTTTTCTGATGGTGGTTAATTAATCCTATTATGTCCCAAAGGTCCTATCCTGCTTCCCTGTGGCTGTGGCTGATGACTGTTGGATTTTTGGTGTGAGGGATTGTTGATTCTAGGGATCTCTCTTTCTAATCCAAACTTCCTGGCTCCAATCTTTCTGACAAGATTATCACATCTGCATTTCTGCAGACCTGGTTTCTGTTTGGGGCAGAGAGACTTGTGGGGAGGTGTTGGTTTCTGCCTTTAAGATCCTTTGTGGAAATATATTCTGCCTTTTTAATATTTCCCAAAATATTTCTTTCTCTGGATTCTTCCCACACGTTTACTCTTGTATTTAATAGAAAGGACTCCCAGTCTGGCCTACAAAACAATATTTTATGGCTTACAATGCATGTAAAAAGATATCAAAATGGGGAAGTGATAAAAATTACATTACTTATAAAAATTATAAGCAGATTATAAAATGTTTAATATAGTTAAAAGCTACAATAGGAACTACCGGTATTATAAAACCCAATCTACATATCATTTTGGGAAAGTCAATCTTGGTGAGTCATTTGAACAGTGCTGCTTTCTTTCACTTCACTGCAGCTTAATGGAATTGTTGCAGCTAAGCCCCAGTTGAAGAAGAGCTAGGAGCAGTTGATTGTTTACATTTTTAGAGCACCATGAAATCTGAGGTGTTGCACCATTTGATAAAAGAAAGGCTTCCCAAATATACTAAAACAAGTAGTAGAAAAGCACTCTTGAAATACATTGATTCCTTCTGAAACACAATAAAAATACAATGAATTTACAATAGTCGTTAAAATGTATTAAACAAAAGTGAAAGGCTTATAACGGGGAACTCAGAATCCATCCACAAAAGGCTTAATGTAATCATTATAATGTAATGAAACTATATGTAATGTAATATATTAGTTAATGTGTTTAGTGCAATAGTGACATTAATTGAATTAAATAAGTAGTGACTTATTTAATCATAATTAATTGCAGAAGTCATAGTGGCCTGGTTCATATTGACTAGCTGTCAAACAACATTGTTTGGTGTTATTATGACTGAACAAGGTCATGAATTTTGTGATGGGGGGGGAGGATTAACTGCATAGCATAGGATTGTAGCCAAAGATTAAAAAGGACAGTCCATGGGAGAGAATAAACTTCACTGATTCTTATTGAAAAATGCAAGATGTGGCTTTGAATTTTGATAGAACCGCCAGTTTTCCATCTTGCTTGAGATGCGTTATTTTCTGATAAAATATTTGTTTAAATGCTTAAATAAGGTTACATAACTACGATAAGAAATATTTATACCTGAAAATAATATTACATAAAATTTTATTTAAAAAGGAAAGCAGTGCCATGAAAGTGGATTGATGGTGGAAGGTTATCCTTTATGCAGGTAAAGCTAAAAATTCTATGGTATCAGTTGGATTCCAAATTGTGTTTGGAAGCCCTTACACGTGTTACTTTAGAAAAACAATGAAGAGAACTGTAGCATCTCAAAAACATAGAAGTTGGATCAAACTAGACGTAGTTACAGCATTCTGTTCTGACTGTAGCCAACCAGATGGCTCTAAAAACACACAATTGAAATGCATCAACCTGCAAACTTTTTATTGGGGGAAGTAGCGGAAAGTATTGTTTTTAGTGGAAATAGTTCAACATTCACTTAGGGCTCATAAAGCGCAAGAATTCAAAGCGCATCCTAAATCTTTCCAAGTACCGCTCTGACTTTCATTGATTCCTCAGTTTCCTGCGAAGTTCCTTGTTTTGTCCCTTGCCCTGTTCCGTAATAAGTAGTTGCTGAAGGCGGGACTTTTCTTTTCCCCACCCATCCCTCCAAGGAATCCAGTCTTCCTATTGGCCGAGCAGTACGAGCGCGAT